GCGAGCCGCAGCGCTGCGGGACAGACCGAGCCTCAGCCGCGGCCCGAGCCCTTAGGGCCGCTCCCCTTTCCCCTGGAAGGTACGAATGAGCGCGTTTTCCCTCTCTCCAGCCCCTCGGAAACGCCTGAAGGCAGAGGAGAAGGCGGCTCGGCGCCAGCGGGCTCGCCACGCCGGAAAGCTCGACCGAGGGAACACCGAGATGTCTCTGGGGGAGCTGGAAACATATGGCCGGAGGCAGACTGCCAAACCCCGCAGCGTGGGACAGCTTTGGCAGAGAGGCACCAGCCGTCCTCCTGTTCAGCTCATTAAGCTTAAAAATATTCACTCTTAAAAGATGGTGGCTTGTTTTACACAGTCCCCACGGCTAAAAAGAAAAAAGCATGTAAAGATCCTGTGGCTGGGAAACCACTACCTGTTCTTTTCCTCCAAAACGCTCTTCACTGAAGGTCATTTTTAAGTTGAGATAAAAAGCTGCAGCCTCATTAGAGACAAGCCCAGCTCGCTGCTGAGGGTGTTCTCCCCTCCTCCAAAAATTTGCAGGCTGGTTAGCTGGCAGTAAAACTGGAGAGACTCCCCAGGAGATGGGGCTGGCAGGACAGACAGATCACCAGGCTACAGGAATGCAGAACTCCGCTTCCTTCTTCCACAGACCTTTATTCCCTGCAGCTTTTCAGCCAAACAGTAAGGAGTCCAAAGGTGTCACAGTTACATTCCCTGCCCCACAAGTCCTCACACACACACATCTGCTCTCCCCAAGTCCTGACCAGAAAGCTGCTGTGGGCATTAACTCTCTGTCTTGCTGCTCTGTGTCCTGTTCAGGTGGTCGAAGCTTCTCTGGAGCATGGAAAGGGAGATCTTTAGCTGTGAAGATACAACCATCATACCCCTCCAGTTAGTCTCCTGCATAGGTGAGTGACATCACACAGATAAATTTCTCCTTCCTCCTTTTCTTTTCAACATTTCAAGCAATTTCCTCCCTGTTCCTATGAGCAGTAACCATACTCTGCTCTCCCAACAGCCCTACTGTCCACAGATCACCAACAAACCCAGTATGGCAAAGCCTGAACACCCACCACACAACAGCATGGCAGACAAGCCACCCCACTCACTTTTAGTCAATGTTCACAGCAAATACTTTTAAGGCATCAAAACATTCATTTCCTTGTAATAACTGGCCCTCCAGGTGCATTTCAGTGCACAAAATTCTGTTTAGATGGACAGCTCTCAGAAAACAAGGTAACAGGCACTAAGGTGTGTCATGACTTCCAGCCAAAAGTGTTATTTGGGATGAAAAAGGTTGTTGAATTCTCACTTTTTTTAATACTGTATATTCAAAAAAAAGAGTTTAACACTTCAGAACTAGGAATTGTTTGGGTAGTAAGCAGAGAAACTGAAAAGGGTGTGGAAATGAGGAAATTCATTTCTACAGTGAAATTTCCAGTGCTCAAGCTTTTTTTTTTCAGGCTGTGATCAAAATGGTTAATGGATTAATAGCAGTTTTGTGAGCAGAGACACCCATGAACAAGGAGTATAAAGAAATGGGTTCTTTTTCTACCCTCTTTTGGTGTGTGGGAGAACACAGAGCAAACTGGTGATGGATAGAGGTCTATGTGAACTCCCCCACAGCCTTCCCTAATGTAATAAATTTCTTCTGTCACATTTTAGGATTTATTAAAAAAATTTCAAAGTCCTGGACTTCAGGATCAGAGGGATACCACAGCATTCACATTTTATAGAGTGTCTGTAGTATCTAAGAGCTTGGAAGTGTAAGTTCCTGAGAAGGAGGATTAACCCCACAGGCTAGGGAGCCTCTCAGAAACAGAGTTTGCAGAATTTATTCCTTTTTCACTTGAGATTAGGTGGCCCTTAGATCCCAAGGCTAAATGAAGCTCTCACCCATACCTAGAGGTGTAGTGGGTAGCACAAGCCAGAATAAAGAAACCCCACCATGAGGTAGGAACATTATGGTTTGAGTCTTCTTAGAAAAAGATCTGTTTTGAATTACTGCAGTCTTTGCTTTGTGATGATTCAGAACTGCATCAACACATCTCATCAATACAGGTACTGGACAGGTTTAAGAATATGAACATGAATATTTAATTTTAGTTAAAAAAAACCCCAAACAACCACAACCCAGGCAACCCAAAACATCAGAAACATGAGCATTCCCTGTGTACCAAACTCAAGCTTTGGACAAAAAGGGTCAAGGAGTCATAAAAACTGTAGTTAGCAGCAGAAGACATCAGACAAAAGCTATGATGGCATAAGGCAGAAAACAATTTGCTGAGAACCAGGAATACCACCAGGAAGAACTGCCAGACCTACCTGCTCAAGCTTTTCAATTGAGTCTCTTAGAACACCCTTCATGTGTTTAACCTGTTCTTTATCATAGTGAGGGATCTCCTCTTTTGATACCATTTCTGGGGATATGCTGAAAGAGATGGAGATTACCTCAGACACATGAAACACACACCTCCAATGCCTTTCTAAAGGCAACTGCTCTCTGCAAGCATTACCCTGCCATTGCTGAATGCATCCTTTCCCAAAAGCCACATAAAAAAGCTGCCTCCAGCTGAATTCCAGTCCCTGTTGAAGATACTGCCTCAGACCTTTGCAGACAACAGCCACCAAGAACAAATGTTCCTGGGTTATGTCTACAGTGTAAGCTCTCACACTTCACAGGGCAAGGTCTTTCTTATGGAGAAAGTTACTCTCATCTGTTCCAAGATGATCACTGTGAGAGGTCACCACACTGCTTCCATACTCAAGAGAAGCAGCAACATCTGAGCCTCTTCCACATCTCTGCATGTAAGAGACACCTCACATGGAAGTTTGAGGAGGAGAGATTGAGCAGGAGACTCACAGAAAGAGACTAAGGAGCTAAATGAATCCTTAGGATTACATTTGAGATGCTGCTGGTACACAGAAGATGAAGTGAACACTGGTTCTGTGATCAGCACTGTGATATTCACAGCAGATGAGTCACAGGAGGGTGATAAATGCAAGCTAAGGTTAGCACTCCCCCAAAAAACAGCTTGTCAAAGGAGAAGTTTATTGCTGCAGGATGCAGTCAGGCATGTCACTGGATATCAGCACAGACCACAGAAGAGCAACCAGCCCCAGCAGCTTTTGAAAACTTACCACTGATTTTTATTGTTCAAAATCTATAGATTTAGCTGAGGAAGAAAGAAAGCAAAGGTTGTGAATTTAACTTACTTCAAAGAGCTTTCCTCCTGAAGCTGGACATGATAGAGGGACTGAGCTGCATGCTCTATCTTTGAGAGTTTGAGAAACAGTGTTATATTCAGCAAGACCAAGAGCAGCAAACTGTAGAGAGAAGAGAACAAAAAATCAAAGTCCTTAACAGTTTTGGTTGCAATGCTGCAGAAATAAGACCTTGGTTAAAAAACAGCTCAGAGAATCCTTCTAGAAAAAAGAAAAAGTGTGCAGCAGGGGCAACACTGACAATAAATATCTATCCAAACAATTCTTAGCAGTGAGCATTAAGCTGAGTAATAGCAACCAAGAGGAATGGCAACAATGGAGCTTTTAAAACTAAGAGTAAGTAAATTCTAGACTTTTTTTAAAAAATAGGATCAGACCTAAGAAAACCTGCAAGGTAGATTAGCTTGGCAGGTCAGCATTTGCATTCTGTGTGTCCCTTCTTCAGTCAACTCATTCCTCTCCTATCCCTGAGTGTTCCAGTCAAATTAGGTTAGGATCTGTCAGGCTACATGCAATGTTAACATGCACTACATCCATTCCCATGGAAGTGGGGTACAGGCAAGCAAAGACCAAGATCAGCTTGAGTCAAGGCACATTTTAATGCAAGTGAGTACTTACAAGACACTCATTACTACAATGATGGTGGTGGTCCTACTTACAGCATCTCTTTTCCTTCCTATAGGGCATGGAAGAGAAGGAGGTTAAAAAGTACTGAGGAACATTCCTAATGGATGCCTGCAGAGATATGTCAGTGCCCAGCATTTCACACAGAATAGCTCAACAGCTTCTGATGGAAAAAAAAATAACAGCTTGTGTGGGTGCACAGGATCAGCTCCAACATTCACCAAGGCATTGCTGCAGTCATCTCAGCCAAGTCAGCTGGCTGAGGCAGCTCTTCTGTCAGGAGCAGGTTTCTCCCTGCACCAGTGTGCTGGGGAGAACATGGTGCTGGGGAGAACATGGTGCTGGGGCACATTGACATTAAACCTGGAGAGCCTGAGAAGGCTACAGTCCATCCATCACTAACTCTCCCTCAGCACACATGCTCCCAGCCACACACGAGCAGAGACAGGCTGCCAAGTGGCTCTTCTCTGCTCGTCCTCCTGCCCACAACAGTCTGACAGTGTCAAATCAAGCTCTCCTGTGACTTGTCCCACCCTTACTGGCTTGGTTTATACATTTGCCTGAAGACAGCTTTCCAAAAGAGCATCTGCTATTCCTCAGGCAACAGGGACCAGACACTTGAGAGACAGGAAGTGTGCACGTCCTCTCCAAACTGAGCAGCAATTCCCTGCCTGCTCTTTAATCACCTGCTCTCCTAAAAGAGTTCTCTACAGGCACAGTTCCTGCCCTGGACTAAGTGCATACACCAAAGCTGCAGTGTATCCTGAGAGAGACACACTCACCTGAAAAGGTGAAGCAGCAGCAGCAAAATTAAGTAACCAGGAAGTAATCTCAGTTAGGTAAGAAGTCCATTACACATGCTGTTGATCCAAATGTTCTCTCAGTTCTATACTCAGTGTTGTCTCCCCCTTTAGGAAAGGAAGGAGCACTTGCTCCTACTTCAGTGTTTGCAATTCAACTTGTATCATGAAATCCCCCATTCTCTGGTACACATCAGTGCACAGATACCCCTCACCTCTGGAGGTGTAGCTCATACTGGATATGCTAGTGGCCAAGTCTGTCAGGCTGAGGGGCAGTGGAACTGCAAGAAATGCAGAGGTGACCCAAAAACTAGAGAAGCAGACTGGACATATACTCCTTAACATAAAATAAAACCCCTGAGGTGACAGGGTCAAGAGGTGAGTGATAAAGTTTAATCAACTCATGACTTGGGTGTGCAGTCATTTGAAGAAATAAAGCAATTTTCCAGCAGCTTTACAGAAGTAGGGTTAAATTTCCTTTCTGGTCCTATCTCATTTTCAATCCTTTGCAGGGACAGTGAAGCATGTTGAGTATTGGTTGCTTTTTGTTTGTTCTAGAATCAGAAGGTGAGATTAAGTTTGATTTTATGGGATACTCATAAAAATGACTATGCATGCTCCAAATCTATTCTATGCAAGCTTGAACACATTAAAGCATTTGCTGTCACACCAGTTAGATAAAGACAATGAGAGTAACATACGTGTAAGTGTTACCCTTGCACTCTTTTAGGAATTAAACCTTCTTGAACATACCTTCTGGAAAACACCTGACATAAAGTTTCCTACCTGTTATGGTGCCCTGTGGCTCCACTCCCAGGTCCCCAGGGGAGTGCTGGGCAGAACGTTTGGGAAGGGACTCTGCCAGGCCCCTGTGCAACGTGCGTCGCCTTCGCCTCAGGGCAACTAATTTCCCAGAGTCTTCTATAGATTGATTGATTGCATATTCCTCCAGGAGGAGATCTGATTCTGCAGTGGGGTAAGGAAAAAAAGAAAAAGGGGGGGTTTAATGAGTTGTCAAAAGTAAAGTCTAGCACTGAAGGCTTAAATTGTGAGCTATGGAGGGTGGCAGAGAGAGGAGTAAGGGCACACTCGAATAAATGGGCTTAAAAATCAAGTAATTGGGAAATTCCATCTTGACCTGTACCCCCTGTCCTACTTGCTAGAGGGCACTGAGTACACTTTTCAGAGCCAGTGGACATGCAGCCTGTGCAGGATGGTTTCAGGATGTTAGCAGTTTGAGGAGCACTTCCAGGCCCTGTTAGGCTGAGACTAGGAGCTGTGTTAGACTGAGCCTGCAGCAGTGACTGGCCAGGCTGTGAACAGACCCTGCCAGGGAGCTGCCAAGTGCCACTGCTTCTCTCCTCATGCCCACAGCCAAGGAAATGCTTAAAGATGGGCACAGGCAGCCCAGGAACAGCTTTCCTGCTGCTCTCCACCTTTCCTTCAGGAAGCAGTTATGACAAGGTGTACAAGAGCTACTGGTTAGCATGAGGCTGTGAGGGCTTGGAATTGGCAGAGGTATTGATGACAGGAACCTCCAACTTCCAGATGCCTTTGGCTTTGCCTTCTTTTCACACCATTCTTTAAGGAATCAAATCTGATAGACATGAAAACATGACTCCTTATTCTAGCACAAAGAAAAATGCCTCACCAAGTTGTTTGAAGTTTTCTTGTATTCCTCCCCAGGTATTCTTCTCAATTACAGACTTGACAAGGCCCCAGGGCTGTTTCTTGTACTTCACTTCTGCAGAAACCCTAATCAACAGAATGCAATAGTGAGAATGCTCTCCTAGGAGGCAGAGCAGCAGCAGAAAGCCCTTACTGGAAGCAGGCTCTGATGTCCAGACTCTGAAACACCAGCTGGAACTGCCTGGGCTTTCCACTTGGGCAGCACTTCCACTGAAGCAGGGGAGGAGACAGAGAGCAGCAAGGTGACCTGTCTAGCTCAAGCCTCAGGAGATCTGGATGTCCCAAGATATGGGAAACATCTCGAAGCATTTTCCTTCAGACTCAGACTAGCAGAGATTTTCTCTCCTCTCAAGTGTTCTCATTTTAACACACATTTAAAACAGGCTTCAGGCTTTCACATCACAAAGTCCTGCTTGTTACTCTGCATGCATACTCATGTCTCACACAGGCACTGCAATGGCAGCAGGGAAATTCATTATCACCACCCAGGCATCAAGTGCTCTGATCCTACCCTGAGTAGGCAGAAATTAAACTCTCTCTGTGATCAAGACCTGCCTTGCATTCCCCAGGTTGAGCTGATCAATGATGCTTCTAGAAGAGAAATGAACTGGAGCAGAATCCTTCAGAGGGCTGCTTCCAAAAGCTGAGTTAATCCCAGAGGTTTAGTCCTTTGGGAATTATTAAACCCAAAGGTTTGTTATTTATTGTCCTTCACCAAGGACAAAAGGGTAGCCCATTGTTTTAGGTAAAGAACACTGACTGTCCTAAAATAAGAGACTTTTTCCAGCATTCTCCTATAATCATCCAAACCAGTGCAAGGCCACTGAGCTTCTAGTCTCACAAAACAGCATCTTGCAGTTTCTGAGCCATTTTAAATGCAGTACAAAGCCAGCTGTAACATCACTATGCACTTTTTGGTCTATGCATGTGCTCTGGGCACCATATTGAAAGCCAGGTTTTTCCTCTCACCCTAAGGTTGCCATGTGTCCCAGATAAAACAAACATAGCCCTCAAAGAGGAAAAATGACTCACCCAAACCCTAAAAATCATCCAGAACAGTTGTTCAAAGGCCTCTCTTCCCTTCTCCTCCCAGTAGAGAGGGAGCCTTCAGCACTTTCATAGCCTGAGATACACCAGAATAAAATCCAGGCTTGCTTACCTTTCCTGGGTACTGATGAAGTTTTGAGCTAACAGGTCTTACTGGGGACAGCACAAAAGCTACCAAGGATTACATAGTCATAATGTCAGACAGATGCACTGAAGGTGGAACTTGATCCCTTCAGGCATTTTTAACAAATGGGAGAGGAAAGAGAAGTGCCTTTTAAAATTCTCCTATCTAGGTAGAGTTTAATAATGAAGTCTGACTTGCTTGAGCACCCAAAAGTAGGTACTTACTTTCTGCCCAGCACCCTCCTGTGAAACCATCCTCCTCCACCGGCCCTTAGCAATGAAATCTGGGAAACTGTGTAATGAAACATCTTGGAGAGTCTGAACTTATCCCACTCCCTCAGCTGCACTCAGAACCACAAGGCTGGTCAGAACCCAGATCCATCTTAAGAGACCAGTTCTGTGCCTCAGAGACAACCTCAAAATTTGCTTCTCACCGAATTAACAAGCTCCGAATCCAGCAGCCGTGAGACAGGAGATAACCCAAGCTTATTTTCTAGAAGACATCCCCAGCTTCAAGAGAAGCTGACCTCTATGCTGTTGGCAGGTCTTTTGATAAGCACAGTTCAACACAGAGGCCTTGGCTTCTCCCCCTCCCCCCCAGGGCTCACCGTAGCCGACACTTGTGGCTGGAGGTGCGGCTGATGCAGTATCTGTTCACAGTGTAGAAGTAGTCGTGGTAGGGGACATCATGGGTCAGCACCTCAGCATCCACCTGGTAGGACTGACCTTTCTGGCTCTGCTTATGCAGGATCTACCATAAAAGAGAGTAAAAATTAAGGTAGATCCATGGTACCTGGATTGATTTTAGATTGAGGGGGTTTTGGTGATTTGTTTTGTTTTGTTTTTCTTCTTTCAGCCTGAATTCCTTAGGTTAGATCAGCCAACTCCAAGTGAACTAGCAGTAGAGACAAAGCCTAAATAACCACAATAAAATGTCAGTTAAGCACAGATGGGAGTGGGGAAAGATGTCCCCTGCTGGAGCCAACACAGGCAGCAGCAGTCCTTCCCCACTGCCACTCCAAGTCCCAAATGAAAGGCTGGCCACGGACTCATGACCACAGCTCCTCTCTGGGACTGACCTATGACACCTTGCCCAGAGAAGAATGACAGAATGGTTGAGACTGGGAGGCACCTCTGGCTGTCACCTTGCCCAAGGAGGGACATCTAGAGCTGGTTGCCCAGATGGCTTTCCAATCTCTTCACAGAAAGAGATGCCACAAGCTCTATGGACAACCTGTTCCAGTGCTCTAGCTGTTCAGAGGGAATGACCTGCGTTTCTATCTGTGCCCATCACCTCTGCTTCTGTCACTGGGCACCACCAAAAAGTGTGGTCTTTGATGAAGACCTGGCTCAGTCTTCTTTGCACCCTCCCTTCAGATACCTATATACATTTTAAGATTGCCCCTGAGCCTTCTCCACCCTCAGCAGTCCCAGATCTCAGCCATTTTTCATAGGACATGCTCCAACCCCTTAGTCATCTTAGGAGCTATTTGCTGGACTCTTTCCATCTCTCTCTCATATTGGGAAGCCCAGAAACAAGACACTGAAAGCACTTCAGTGCATCTTTTCACCTGCCAGTTCCTAAAAGATGTTAAGCTGCAAATCTACCTTCAGCTCACTCAACTCTAATCCATGGTCAGATCTCTGACCTCTCCCTTCTTTCAAAGGCCACCAGACACACACACCCCCCACACACCCAGTACCTGCTTTTCAGTTGCAGTTGTGAACTTCCCACAAAGTGGATTGTTAATTGTTACAGTGTATGTCAAAGTCCTCAACTGATTGCCACTGGAATCTCTATTCCAAGGGGTTGATACAGCATCTAGATGAGAAATGATGCAAAAAATCTCACATGGTTTTGTCTCTGCCCTTTCATATCTTAACAGCTTAAAAATAGTGATGGGGGAAGAGAGAGTCTAAAAGTTAGAGGGTTATTTTCCAGTAAAAGAGAAAGTTGTAGTTCACTGATGAACAAAGGGGGAGGCACTGAGGAGCTGAACCTGAGTCTATTAAAAGAAACTTGATGGTGAGAAGACTAAGCAATTAAGTGAAAAGATGTAATTTCCCACCTGCTTTAAGTTGAATAAATTCACTTAGTGTTATCAAAAGCTTCTGCCACTTTGCCTTCCCAGCTAACACTGCATAAATATTACCCTTTTGGACTTAATGTTTCAGTTCTTACAATCTCAGTGAATAAAATTTACTCATCCAGAAAATTAAAGCCTGTGAGTATGGTTTAAATGGATGCAGTGATTTTGCCTCTGTGTCAGCCATACATATTTCACTATTTCTAGGCTAAAAATGTAACCAGAAGTACCCCACAGAATGCATCAACTTAATAGCCTACACAAAATTCTAGGATTAAGGTGCCATTTTGTGATGCATTGAAAAGAGGTTTTCATTCCAAAATATCACTGCTCTACAGAAACAACAGGCTAGCTTTAAATATCCTCTCATAGCACAACTTTAAAGCTTCCAAATTCTTTTAAAGCAAGGAGCAACTTAACATTCATTAGCACTATTTAACATTTCTCAGAGACTGAAATTTTCAGGATAGTTTGCAGCACATCCAGAAGGGAGGAGAGTGTTATTACCTACTATACTCCTGGAACTGAGGAACCTCTGCATGAAGTGAGAATTGGTGAAAAGGATTTCAAACATCTTGTCTGCAGTGATGTGGAAAACTCTGTTTATAAAAAGCCTCCCATAAACATCATCCTCAGAGACAGGCTCCTTCACTGCTAGGGAAAGGCAGAGAGATCAGGTTAAGAATGGAACAGTATTAAAATGAAATCTTTATCATATTCTAAGCTTTATTACAGCTCAAATCCTTCCCAGGCTTGCATCAGCACTTGTTTCAGAAGCCCAGCAATGAGAGCAGCACCATTTGGTAGGTTGATTGTCTTCAGAAGCAAAGTCCAAAGTTGATTTTCAACACCCATTCCCCCTGGCAATTTCCCTGTGCAAACAATCTGATAATCAGCATCATAATTTTGCCTTCAGGATTCTACTAATCCTATAGGAAACATGCAGAAGACAAAAAGCATAATCTGAAATAATGTGTGTGATTATTGTACAAAGAACAGGTCATGGAAGTATGTGTGATTTTCTTCCAACATGTGTTCCCAACAGCCAGTCTCATGTGACCAGCATGACAAATCTATGCAAAAAGGACATTTACAGCAGTGAAGCCACACTCATGGCTAGTTTCACAACTCTTTTTAACCAGGTAGATCCCCAAAACCTTCCTCATGCTGTTCCTCCCTCCATACCCATTTATAAAAGGAATGCAAGAGGTGCTCTGCTCCATTTTCCAGTCCTGAAAAGTTCACTAATGTGTTTAATCCTTGTGCCCTACTTCAAAACCACCACCAGGCACCCCAGTGGGGTTCTGTGGCTGCTGCCTCTTGGTTGCTGGCATGACTCAACTTGTGGTTGTCTCAGCCACTCTTGCAAGAGATAAGGGACAGAAATATAACCCTAGAGGGCAAGCAGTTTCCTATACCAACCCCAACTCCATCTGCTTTAGAAACAAATCCATTTTAAGCTATAATTATCAAAACTGAGCCCTACACGTTACTAAAATGAAACAAAAGAACCTGAAAATAAATCTTGCAGAAGCCAGACAGAGATCAGGACACCTAACCTTCCAATTTATGCAAAAAAATGCTCAGAGGCAGCCTGAATATCAAGCTATAGTTCACAGGCTGCCTATAGGCTAAGGTTACAGGACTTAAAGCATGACTGACTGGTAGCAACCTGTACTGATAAATGCAAATGCAGCAACTAAACACCACAAGAGTCCCCAGAGAAATCCAACTCTGGCTCTGAGCACACCTTCTCTGGTGTTGCTTCCAGCCTGCTAAAAGTCCCTGTTATCTGTCTCCAAAAAAATGTTCTCTTTGAGCTAATCAAACTTCAATGTAGGAGCCCAGAACTGAAGCACGAATGGCACGTTTTTGTGCTTGCACACAAGATGGGCTTCCCTCCCATGCCATGCTCTGCTTGTGCCATTTAAAGGCCATACAGCTGGGAGGTGGGACAGGCAGCAAGTGTGTCCTTCACAAGGTCTATTTAACCAGGCAGTATGCAGGCAAGACATGTCACAATGCAGATTCTGCCATGCTGGAATGTTCTGTAGGAAGTCAGCAGCTTTGCCTGGGTTTTCAGCTGATATTCACTGTATTTCTTCTGAGAGCTGAGCTTAATTCCAGCAAAATGCAGTCTGAGTGAACTGTGAAGTTTGACCTCAACAGGTAATTCAAACCTAGGTGCTCTGGTTGACTCTTACTCAGCTGGACCTTGAGATGGCCAAGGAATATGCTATGACTTAGAAAAACCCCACACACACCACAACCACACCAAAACCTCAAGGCCCAGACAGATGATGAAGTCACCACACAGGAGATAAGCTTTGACAGCTATTTGTGGGTGTCTGAGCAAATAAAAGATCATACAAGTCACCTTTGCCCCAGTGAGGTTTAGCTAACTAACATACCTTTATGTTCATCTGCAATGCCTGAGGACAGCTACAGTGGTTTTGGTGATGTCAGGTAATTTAGTAAGCCACAGCAACTCAGGATATGCACAAAGCTTAAGGTGTAGAGCTTGCTACTGAGATATTTCACTCTTCAAGCATGTCTGTCCTCTCTGTACTGAGTCTTAAGCAAGAGCAGCCATGAGTCCACACCAAACCAGCTGTTAGTTGACTCACCTACACTATTTTTATCTAATCATGCCTCTCATTAAGAATAGTCAATGAAATGCCAAGTGCATGAGAGTATCTGAGGAAGTCTGAACCACTTGTCTCTGCTACTAATAATGTTTGTCTCCTGTTTTGTTTGTTTAAACTCACAGAAGTAAACCTCCCAGCCTTTTATTCATCTCCATATTAGAGCATCATCAATTTTACCTAGAACTGGCTCAGAAATACTGTTTAGGAACAAAATGTTTTGTGCAGGTGTCTAGATATCAGTCTCCTTAATTTCTAGTGTTCTTCTAACCCCTAAGCAGCATGCAATTATCAACCACTAACTCTCCTAGCCTGAATAAATTTATAGATTGATTTGAGCTACTGCTTGATGAGAGAATATGAGATTATTCTGACCTTAGGGTAGGAAACTAAAAATCCAGAAGAGCTGTATTATCTAGAGTGTCCTGGTTCAGCCCAAAAACAGCAAGTCTGCTCCCTCCCCCACTACTGCCTTGCACTTCATAAGGTCATTTTCACCACTGCAAAAAAAAAAAAGCTGTGAAACCAAGTTTGAATGTAACACCACTATGTGGTTGCAGAGGTTTGAAAACATCTGCAGTGCAAAAAGACAAAAAAAAATGGAGGGGGAAAAGGGGGTGAAGAAAAAAGAAAGTTCTTAAAATTCCTATTAGCAACTAATAGTCTGAAGTTAAAGACACACTACAAGCAAATTAAGAAAGATGAATTGATAAGAGCAGAGGTTATCAAATTAATACAGCTGATTTTTCCACTCAGTGCTGGGAAAGGATTAGGAGGGGAAAAAAAGGATGTATGTGAATCTTGGCACTGCTGAGGATTTCTGTACCACTGGGGATGTGGAAAAACTTGCACACTGCAGGAAGAACACACAGGATGGAGCCTTTAACCAGATGCACCTGAAAGCAAGTCCATAAAGCCACTTCCTAGAGGGAACATGTTCCAGACACCATCTATTTAAAGACTGTATCAACAGTATTAGCCAAAGAACTCTCCTATCCCTTAAATAAACTAACTCAGGGAAGTACTGTGGAAGTACTGTGACCATGCTAGCTTTCCCCAGTTTCACAAGATAAAAAAAGTGCCTTCTGATAACTCCAACATATCCCCTCCAAACCCCAAAGCAACAAATAATTAGTAGTTATATTTTGTTGAATAGATGTGCTTTCAGTATTTTGATTAAAAGGCCAGGAAGATAACAGGGCTACTCTTCCTTGTGTACACTGATATAGCCAAAATTTAATATCCTGGGGGAAGGCAAACCACAAACAACCAGGGCTGAGCTAATTTCAAGCACTCTGTATTTCATTTTCTGCCCCATATCTGCAAGAAAAGTCAAGTGACCACTGTACCTATCTCACAGTGCAAGCAGTTATGCTCTCCTGCAGACCACACATTTAAGGTGGTTATTAAAACAATTAAAACCAACACAGTAAGTCTGTCAAGTTATGCAAAGAGATCAGGAATTCATGATACACAGTAAAGACTGTTTTCCAATTTCCTGCTTCCCCCTTCTTTCTTTGAAGTATTTCATGCTGCTGAACATTGTCATTGGGAAAAATCACAACCCCCCCCTCCCCAAAACCATCCCTAATTACAACAGAATGATTTGAGGAAATTCAGAATCTGCTGGCTCCATTTTAGGAAGACATATTCTGTGCTTGAACTATGCTGAATTTTAGAAGTGAGAGCACAGATATTCAGTTTTAGCTTAGCCAAACTTCTGTCCCAGCTTGAGATTTATCCTCCAAGTTGTGAAACCCATGAAAAGCACCAAGAAGCAGTTCAGTAGGCCAGTGGTGCACAACAAGACCCACACTCCCCACCCCCTAAGTAAGCAGAGAACTGCTTTGGGCAAGGGAACTAGTGTTGCTAAGGCTCTGGCATTCCAGCTTTGGATGTCAGGTGGACCTGGAATGGAGAAAAAGTGCTGAGCTTGCCCCTCATGTTATTTGTCAGGGGACACCCCCTCATGGGCAGCCTGATTATGAGCCAGAGGACACAAAAGGAATTAATTGCATGGGTAAACCTTTGCCATGTGGGAAAGCCAGTTTCATCTGCAGGGAGGAATTCACCTTGTAAGCATATGGGGCAGCTGCAATAGAAAACAAGAGAAACAGAAAGGGAAAAAAAAATCTAAGCATAAAGAAGTGAATCTGAAAAGATTAATGTTGTGGAACTAGAAAATCCTGCTCTGAACAAAAAAAGACTCGTCTGGAGGGAGGGAGGAGAAATAAGAAAAGCAGCATGAAGGCAGTTCTCTTTTTATTAAAGAGACAACTCCAGCTCAATAGGCTCCATTTACTCAACATCACAAATGCAGGGATGACAGGGAGGATTTACTGCTATCACTCAGGCAAACAGCAGCAGGAAAGAGGACTGTTCTCAATCAGTTTTGCTGGAGATCTTTGCCATAAAACAAAATCCAGAGAGAGAAGAGAGATGCAGCACCAAGAGAGCAAGGAAACTGCAAGGTATTTAAAACAAAGGCCAAAACTTTCTGCTACTGTAAAAGATAAATGAACTCAGTTAAATGAACCCATTCAGGCCAGCAGGTGATGAAATTAAGGTCTCTTTTTGCATGGGAAAGAAATATTCAGCTGCCACAGAGCACACTGATACTGTTAAGCTTTTCTACACCACCACAAACTTTGGAACCCATTCATGTTGTGCACACATTGGCATTTTAAAGGTGTGTAGAGTCCCAAACTGGGATATTTAACAGAACATCCAGCACAACTTCAGTGAGCTGTATGATGGACTACAGCCCTTTGGCATAGAAGAGATCCAAGATGTGTTAAGGTTTTTCATCTTCAGCCCAGATTCAGAGTATACACAGGACACTCCTGAAGGCTGGGAAGTTGTCTTTGCCTGGATTTTCAGCAAATTCTTCAGTTTACTCCATCAATAACAAAGCCCTCATGCCTTCAGAAAGTAGAAGTGCAAAGAAAAGGGGATGTAGAGGGTGAGGGAACCTTTCAGGAACTGGAGAACAATCTGAAATGTTTCTCCTCAGTTCCCAAGAAATTAAAACAAAGGTCTTTAAAGCTTTTTAATTTCCTGTGAGACCATGGGAAATGAGCAAACACCACCATATTGTCAAGAAACTTTTTTTAGTTTAAGCTGTTAAGAACCCTTTACCCAAAGGAAAAAAAAAAACAACAAAACACACCACAAACAATTTGTTTTTGTTCTAAACACTCCCAACAGCAACTTTTTTTTTTTTCTCCCCAGTAAGCAAGATAAAAAGATGGTTTTGCTACAGTTCCATGAAGCAAATAAGCTTCATAAGATCAGGAAGTTCTCTAACTTGTTCCACAAGTGAGATGGGATCTGTAAGACAACCTGAGTCTGGTGTTCCAAAGATTTACCTTCTTCACTATCTGAGGCACTGCTCTTCTCAGGAAGATTTTCATTCTCATTCAGGTCCAAGGACTTTTCTGAAGATCTGCTCCTGGTTAGCTTAAGAGATTTTCTTTCTGAAGATGGAGGAGGGCTCTTCTTTATTTGCTTCTCACTTGGGGATTCCTCCTCCACCTGTAACAACCAAAAGGGAAAAAAAAAACCATCAGTAATCACAGACCATTAAAAAAAAAAAAAGGAGGAAGTTACTTTGGAAGAAGAAAACCATATAAAGGAAGCCACAAGCTCTATCTGCTCAACTACTGGCCAGTCAGGCACTTATTTCCCCCTTGTTCCCCTACCCCAGCCAATCTCCCTTCCTTTTTATTTCAGTCTTTCACTTTACCCTGCTAACAAGGCACAGGGTTACTCCCCTGGACTCTTATACCAAGAGCTGCCTTTACAGGGACAGTTTACTCCCCATCCAATCCCCTTACACCTAACTGCACAGTCTGGTCCCCTTCCTTGCATCAAAACTAGCACTTATAAACTCATTAACCTAATACAGATTATTTACTTTTTATTGATCAGGTTAGTTTTTTCCTGTCAGTTGAGCAAGGGTCCCACAATCTTGAGGGGAAGGACAATGAAACAGGCAGGGCCTCTCTTTTTCAGCAAGATCAGATCACCTCAGTTGTATAGTTGAAAGGTGTTATTATTTTGTAGGGTTCCATTACCCTTTGACACAAAAAAAAAAAGCTTTAAACCACTGTCTAGAGCCAACCTGCCTATAAAATGTCACTTCTCAATGGAGTATCACCTGCCACCTCCAGTACAGGAGCAGGAAACCTCACAAAACATCAGTCACTTGAATCAATGATGCAACACTTAACCCTAAACTAGAATAACTGGTGGCTAAGCTTACCTGCCATTGCACACTTCAGGGAAGTCATTTCTAGTGAAACTGTATGCACAGGGTTCATACACCTCAAAATGCCACCCAAAATCTTGGCTACTAGCTTCAAATCAGTTTTCACTCTAAACTTCTCAAAGCTCCCATCACCTCCAGTGGCACAGCTGGGATCAAGGGGAGCACAACTACAACAAATAAGATCAGGCCTCCTCAGCTGAGCAGTTCTGCTTCACCTCCATCATCCCTAAAGATTATTCAGCATTGACTGGAAAAAAAAAAAAGCCAGAGCATCCCTACTTGAATAGTCATCATGTACCTCCTCTACTTCCTGGCTTTTTTCAAAATAAAGACCATCTACTTTTTCATGCCACTGTAGGCCATCAGCAGAAAGTGGGCAGCTGGAAAAGAGAGACAGGCATGAATGTGACTGCACTATAAGCAGGCAAAAATACTCCCTCAAGGACAAAAGGAAGACTGCAGCAGAAAAGCAGATCAATGAATAAATGCTCCTACTGACAGGAGCTACCCATGTCTGAAGTTACACTCAGCCACACAACAGGAACTAGGATGGAACCAACATCTCCATGTCAAAACACTCCACCCATACAGATGGAAGTCAAGAAGGAGCCAATTGTTGTAAAACTGCCTAACAATGGACACAGAGCCAGCACAAATCCAAGGAACTCTCACAGCATTTTGATGACAATTAGGGTTCTGGTGAAGGAGTGGAGCTCCCACCAGGAGTGTAAGAGCAGCCACCAAGCCATGAGCAGAGAAGGAAAGTCAGGCTCAAGTCAGGAGACAAGACCAACAGACTCATGTCAGGGAAGAGGAGATTCCTGATGAGGCTTTTGGAATAACTCATCAACTCAAATACAGTCTTCTTGGGGTTTTTGGCTTGGAGCTGTGGGGTTTCCTGTTTGGATGGGGATTTTTTTAGGAGGGGGTTGTTTGCTTTTTTTAAATACACTAAAGAGTAATGATTTAAAGATCTGTCAGCTGGAATTAGAGATATGTGATTTCTTCCCTATGCACATTTATCTCCTGAGCTAGCCCAGCACTGTTAAACTCTGTGCCAAGGCCCTTCTGCAACCAGCATGCTCTAGGACTGGAAGGCATCCCCTACAAGGAGTGGAGAAAAGATGATGGTTGAAAAGACAGGCACTAAATTGGTTCCAAAATTGAGATGAACTCCACTTAGAGAAGCTGACAAGGCATTGCTGGTGTTACACACAGGCTTCCTTTCATCAACTGTGGACATCTATTGACAATACTTTTCACAAGACAGGCCAAGTACTGTAGACAACCCCTCCATTATTTCACATCTGAGGAGAGCTTTGGGACTTACTGTGTCTCCCAGAGCAGTGAAGGAGAGGTTAAGCGTCTTTCCCTCCAGCCCTTGGAAGGTGATGAACTGTGTTTTGTGTCATCAGTGCAGTGGGTTTTGACAACTGCATTCTAAGAACTACTGCCTCCTCTGCTTGCCCCTGTGCCTCTACAAAATACTCTGTAATCCTGGGGCTGGG